ACCGACCAGCTGATGAATAAGACACATGTGCACATTTGGGTATCTTTGTAGCCGAAACCTTTCGCCTTCTCAGCAGCCTTCTTCAGTCGAATACAGAATATAACACTGGAAACTGAAGGAATTCTGAGGGGGGCTTGGTCCCTCAGCCTTGAGGGACCCGTCATGCCTCAGGCCTAAAACAGAGGCATGTGGCGAATCTTATATGCTAGAACAAGGGAGAGGTGTAGCAGCTGGAGGTGGTGTCACAGGTGAGCGTGGCCTACTAGTGGATGGACGAAGAGGCAGGATGAGATGAGGCAAGTGTGAGGTGAAGCAAGGGTGAGGTGAAGCAGAAAAATGTGAGAGTAATCGAAAGTGAAGGGTGGAGAGAATAGAGAGAGAGATCATTTTAATTATCACTGCTATTTCCCTAATATCAGTGAGGTTGTCAGCTCGCTCGGAACAGAGAGAAGAAAAAAGGTCTTTTAATGAGCTTTCGAGGAACAGCCGAGTGCTCATTAGAGCGACGGGAATAATGTTCTTCTTTTGTTCACGCTGTTTCAAAGAACATCTTCACTACTGGGTGTGAGACATCACACTGATGTTAATGTTGAGGTGGTGGTGACTGAGGTGGTGTTGACAGAAGTGGTGTTGACAGAGGTGTTGACTGAGGTGGTGTTGACAGAAGTGGTGTTGACAGAGGTGTTGTTGACAGAGGTGTTGTTGACAGAGGTGTTGACAAGGGTGGTGTTGACTGAACCACGACAATTTAGTGTGTGAGGCGACTGCGCTACCAATCAAGCTACAAGATGTAAAAAATTACGGAGAAGTCGCAAAACAACGAGGGAGAGGCAGAATAAACACTTCGTTAAGTCACTTAACGATTGGAAACTAAGTTTTTTCATGTCTTCAGAAAATATAAGAGAATCATGGAAGTACATGGAACATGGAAATACACGATAAATATTGGAAAATATGATAAATTTGGGTATATATAGAGCCACTCCTATGTGCGGGTTATTTCTGTACTGATCTTTTGATGACTTCCGAGAGTCTCTTGTCAACCAGGCTCTTGCTACTCGTGGCCTGCAGCCCCACATACCCATCAAAGCGTTGTTTATCTGGCACCTGGTGAAGATCCTTGACCGGTTTCTTCTTAAAGACTTCTCCATTTGTTCCATCAGTGTTTCTGATATTCTGTGGCAAGATGACTGCATCAATAGTAAAGATTAAGTTGATTCTAAAATCCTCTACTATGACTTTTGTATGTTATTCCAGGCTGGAACATAGAGCAATAAGTAATCTTCTGAAGAACAATTACAATGGTGCAAATATTGTGATCGTTTACTAGTATTCCTCTCCCCTGAGACTGCTCAGTAATTCTTTGGGTGGGCAGTTAAGTGAGTTTATTTGGGTACACATACACATAAATACAGCTACACAAATTATCATATATAGTAACACATGTGTCACTTACCTAGGATTACCCAAAAAAGTCAGACGAAGTGATTTATTTCCAGAAGTCCCTGGGAAATAAGAGTCTGGTCAGGAACTTCTGACCTCCGAGAGCTTCCCTGAAACTGAGCCACGCTGTTCACGGTGCAGAATGAAGCCAACTTCTACCATTTCAGGGGTTGTTGCAGCGCAATGTCGAGAGTAAAAGGTTGGGTTTAAACCCTTAATGAACACTGGCAGTGGCAGCTATATCGCAAGTGTCCAGCTGTGTTTGTGACCGTAACACCGCGGAGATTGCTGTCTAATATCCTCCTGGCTGTGTGGAAGGTGTCGTGTACTCTGTACACGAAATTCTTGCCTGATCCGAGAAAAGAAAACAGCGTTGGGCGCCGGGTTACCATCTGGAGAAGACCTGGGCCGGGATAAGACCGACGAATCTACTGCAATGCAACATTGGGACGGGGTTGATCTGGGAAGCTCCATCTCTCTGATGCTGTGAAGAACAAAACAAGACGTCCGGCAACAAAACAACAACAGGCAATATTCATGGAAGGACTTAGGGACACAGGCTAGTCGAGCTGACTATGTTACAGTAGGAGATTAATCTGTGGTGTTAGCACAACTCTGGCAGGGAAGCAATTGACTGATTGATGGTGAATATATTTCCTTTTCTGGGTTACCCTGCCTTGGTTGAATATAGCACGCTGAGCCATAAAGAAATATAAAAACTATATTTATTTTAAAATAACACTGTATTAATGTTTATGAAGTCACCCTGATAAAACAAGCAGATAACACTGTGTCATAATTAAAACTGACTGCATATTGCATGGTTAATTTTGTTATTCCATACTGGCTTGTTGTCTAGCGGAAGATGGTAAAATTATACCATGAAATAGAGAACATCTCTCTCTTTCTTTCTCTCTCTCTTTCTTTCTCTCTTTCTCTCATAATTTAGAATACAATAATATGTCACGATTATAACACTGATTCTTTCATTTCTTCACTTGACCTTACAAAGAAACATCATGTGCATCATTAACATGTGGAATTAAAAACTCATGTAAATGACAATAAAACCCATCGTTTAAAGAGATAATTGATGGTGCTGTTTTGTCTCGTAGAAAGCATTATAAGAGAGGCAAAAGCGAAGCAAAACCATGCAAACGGATTTGTTGTCTTTCGATGAGTTTATTCTGTTAATGCTGCAATGATGTATTTGAGGTCAAGTTGGATAACGAAAGACCATGTTGTGTCAGCTGAATATTTTTTTTGTTTACACGCGATCACAGAGGTGGCCGAAAGAAAAAGTTTTTGACATTGATCACTGTATTCTGTCTTGCAAAGGTGTTGAACTCAGTTTTTAAATGCACATTAAGACTCATTCGATGCAGCCTGTTTCCTTCTCAACTAGTTGCTACGTTTCAGATCCCACAGTAACATTATGGTGGGAAACTGTCACGCTTGAGTTCTGGATGGAAGTACATGCTGCATTGAAGGAGTGTTATGTGCGTTAATAATGTGGAATAGATTCATGGAAGTTCAGTCATGGAGTACCATAGTGAAGTTTCTTTCGGGTACACACATGTGTTCTGTGTATTAATAAATCTCGGTTACATGCATTTCTTGTTCTATAGTGCCTCGCGAGAATGAAGGATAATCTGTCATTTGCCTTGTATAATGCTTCTCGCAGGATCTAAAAAGTGCAACCATCATTTCTTCTTCGTGTATCCTTCATTTATTTTTTATTTCAGTTATTCACGCTTTTGTTCACGATTGTTAATAGTATCAGATGATGTTTGTTGACAATCAGCTGTATTGTGACATGACAGCTGTTTATTGTTGACATGAACACTGTTACTGTTGAATTTCAGTATTACTTGATCAGCGTGAGTGTGCTGTGTGACGATAATGATATCCATTATATGTACTAGAGGTACAAAATCCTACCGGTTTATTTGGATTAATCCTATGGTGCCAGGATGACCATATGACCAGGATGTAATGCAATTGGTAAGGATCTCATTCATATGATACGTGGTGAAAAGACCTTGTTACCGGTAGTTGGTGCCGCTGCGTGTGTGTTTGACCAATCCTTGCATGGTACCATGCGGGACGAAAGCAATCATGATTTAAAGTTGAGCTGGTAAACAAGAAACACATTTACTGTCTGGAAAACTCTAGTGTTACTAGATCAGCGTGTGTGTGCGTCTGACATAAAGTATCCCATTATATTACTGAGAGAGACAAACCTCCGGTGTTATATTGACATTTTCCTGATGGAAATGCAGGGAACTTGACCCATATGTCATACCCACTCATGTGTGCGCTCGTCGATTTATGTTGGTGAGGGGGTCGAGTTCTGGCTTCTGGTTCCCACCTCTCAGGCTTCATCGATGAGCTTCATGAAGCTGTGTATGTCACCCCCACCGCGTCCATATTCAAAGAAGTTATTATGTCCCTACTACACTGACAGGGGCTAGAAAAGAATTTCCTAATATCCCTCCAATTCAAGTTAGTCTTCATTTCTCGTCTGATTTGCCTTGTTTCTGGCCCTCGAGCCTAAGCCTGTTTGTCCATAACTTTTAAGTATTTTGAAAGCTGTAATCATATATCCCTTAGATCTTTTGTTTTCAGAGATATTTGGTACAGTTTTGTTTTTATCACAGTGCACACCTTCACCTCTTATACTGGTCTGGTTGCAATCTTTTGATGTGTGTGTGTGTGTGTGTGTGTGTGTGTGTGTGTGTGTGTGTGTGTGTGTGTGTGTGTGTTGTGTGTGTGTGTGTGTGTGTGTGTGTGTGTGTGTATGTGCTGGTTATTCGCCTGGCTATTACAAATGCTTCGGTCCTTCAAAGAGGAATCAAAATAAACTCACAGTGTATATACCCTCAGTGTATATACACCTTTTAGTGTATATACACCTCTCGTGTATATAAACTGAGAGATACACACTTCTCGGTATATATATCAACTGAGAGATACACACCTCTCGATGTATAGAAACTGATACACAAGTCTCGATGTATATAAATTGAGAGATACCTCTCAGAGTGTATCTCATGGTATTCATTAGCGTGTTAAAACCTTAAAACCCTTAAATATATACAACTAATTTTGTGCTACCTCGTGAAAACAGCGACAGCTGCAATAAACAGTTCTCTTCCTCAGGGTCAACAGCCATGCGAACTACCGTGACAGCACAGCTAACCTCCACGGGGAATACCTTCAGGATGTCTACCCACACCCAGGTAAACTACTTCTGGGGGCTATGTCCTCACTAAATACCACCTACTACCCAGGTACCTGCCTTACAGTGTGTCCTGACTACACATCAATAACACCCAGGAACCCTCAGGGCTCTAGCAAAGGGCGTCAATATGGTGTAATGAATATCACTAAGTAATGAAAAAGTAATGCATGTGTAATAATGATGCTCTGAAGTCTGATGGAGGGTTGTGAGATATTTTTTGTCATTGTTGTGAAAGAAAGCTCACATTTAACTTGTGTTCTCTATCTCTTTCTCTCTTGCACACAGGTAGTTCACCGCGATGGCTCAGCACATAAGCCAAGTGGGGAAAACCACTGTTTACCATCCAAGCCTCGCCCACCACTCTCCCCCACACCCACAACTATCTCCAAGTTTCCTGTCTCACCACCTCTGCCAAACTCTTCCACCTCCCCAACATCCGGAAACCAGATCCCTGCCGCTTCAACAGCAGCATCCACCATGGCCACTGGCTGCGTGATAGTGGAGATAGATGTAGACGTAGATACACTACAATCTCTGAGGATACCACTACCTGCCCCACGGAATGCATTCTCAAAACAACAGCAGCGAAGCAGTCAGTCACGGAAAACAAACTACCTGTCTTTCCTAATATCACCGAGACTCAAGACTATGTCAAAGAGAGTATGCAAGTGACCTCTGTGTTGCCACCGAACGGTGGCAAACAGATCCCCGACAACAGAGCCCAGCAGGCAAAACAGACGACCTTTTGCAGAGCAGAAAGTCTCCCCTCACCCATATCAAGTGTCAGACGGGAAAGACTCTCACGATTTTGCTCAAGGTACAAAACTTTCAGCCGGCTCTGGTATGTTCTCCGGAAACAAATACAGACGACCGAAGCTAAGTTCTCTCACTGATATTATATCAGATCACTCGGGAAACAGAAATCACTTAGATCAGAGGACCAGTATAGAACTTAAGAGTATTAGGCCTCTAAACAACATGTTATAGGCATTTGTTATCACGATTTGTTGAATTTTATCACGATTTGTTGAGTTTTATCATACACACTTTCTCTTCTGTTCTTAGAATTGTTTTTCCCACATTCTTTCCTCTCATTTACATTTCTTTCCAGTTCATATTTATTTTTTTTTCACCCTGCTATCCTCTATTAATCATTCTTCTTATTTTCTTCATATTATCTCTTATTCTTCATTTTTATTCATCCTATCCTCCACATTCGACCTCCAAACAAACTATACCACATTCAACATTTTTATTCTGCCAAAGAGGTTTGAATCCGAATTATAGGATCTAATTCCTCCCTCCGTGCTGCAAACTCTGCTCACCAGATAGCCAGTGTCGACCTTTCTTCTGCCTTCACGCTAAAAGACCCATCAAATTTAGCTTTTGTTTCTTTTAGTACAATGTTAACTAGATATTTTCCGGTCGTTGTGCGAGCCTAGAAAGGCATCCCTATAGGGATTACTGAGGCTTAATTAATCCCATGTGGATTAGAGCCTCATTGGTTGAGCTGTCAGGATTGTTAATCCTATCGGCTGCACGAGGGTCAGTAAGATTGGGATTAATGAAAACGTTGAGCCTGTATACACTGAGATATATACATCTCTCGCAACACAATAAGTGTCAAGGGCCCAAGACTGTTCAACTACCTCCCAGCATACATAATGGGGATTACCAATAGATTCCTGGCTGTCTTTAAGAAGGCGCTGGACAGGCACCTAAATTCGGTACCTGACCGACTTTAGGTGGTACCTATGTCTGTCTGCGTGCGTCCAACAGTAACAGCCTGGTTGATCAGACCATGATCCGCAAAGATGCCTGGTCTCAGACCGGGCCGCGGGGGCGTTGACCCCCAAAACCCTCTCCAGGTATATACACTGAGATATATATATCTCTAACAGTATATACACTGAGAGATATACATCTTTCACAGTATATATACTGAGATATATACATCTCTCACAGTATATACACTGAGAGAATCATCTCACATAGTACACTGAGATATACACTCTCACAGTATATACACTGAGAGATATACATCTCTCACAGTATATACACTGAGAGATATACATCTCTCACAGTATATACACTGAGAGATATACATCTCTCACAGTATATACACTGAGAGATATACATCTCTCACAGTATATACACTGAGAGATATACATATCCCTCGTAGCTTCATAAATCTCGTTAATTTAATTTTTAATGAGAAATAAAAAATAGATTTAATATATTTGTGTGTGAGCATGATTTAGAAATTATTATTTTAGTTATTATTATTATTGCTATATTATTATTATTATTATTATTATTATATTTTTAAATTATTATTAATTATTATTATTATTATTATTTATTATTATTATTATTATTGTTGTTATTATTATTATTATTATTATTATTGTTATTATTATAATTATTATTGTAATTATTATTATTAATTATTATTATTATTATTATTATTATTATTTTATTTTTATTATTATTATTATTTTTTATTATTATTGTTGTTGTTATTGTTATTATTATTTTTTGTTATTATATAATTATTATTTATAATTATTTTTATTATTATTTTTTTTTTTTTTCAACAAGTCGGCCGTCTCCCACCGGGGCAGGGTGACCCACAAAAAAGAAAGAAAAATCCCCAAAAAAAAAACACTTTCATCATCACTCAACACTTTCACCACACTCACACATTATCACTGCTTTTGCAGGGGTTTCTCAGAATATAACAGTTTAGAAGCATATACGTATAGAGTACACAACATATCCCTCCAAACTGCCAATATCCCAAACCCCCCCTTTAAAGTGCAGGCATTGTACTTCCCATTTCCAGACTCAAGTCCGACTATATGAAAAAAACCCGGGTTTCCCTGAATCCCTTCACTAAATATTACCCTGCTCCACTCCAACAGATGGGCAGGTTCCAAGTATCATTCGTCTCCATTCACTCCTATCTAACACGCTCAGCACGCTTGCTGGAAGTCCAAGCCCCCCACCACAAAACCCCCTTTACCCCCTCTTTCCAACCCTTTGAGGACGACCCCTACCCCTCTTTCCTTCCCCTATAGATTTATATGCTTTCCATGTCATTCTACTTTGATCCATTCTCTCTAAATGACCATACCCTCAACACCCCCCCTTCTGCCCTCTGACTAATGCTTTTATTAACTCCACACCTCCTCCTAATTTCAAACTCCGAATTTTCTGCATAATTTTTTACACCACACATTGCCTTAGACAGGACATCTCCACTGCCTCCAACCGTCCTCCCGCTGCTTCATTTACCACCCAGCTTCACACCCTATAAGAGTGTTGGTACTACTATACTTTCATACATTCCCTTCTTTGCCTCCATAGATAACGTTTTTTGACTCCACATATACCTCAACGCACCACTCACCTTTTTTCCTCATCAATTCTATGATTCACTCATCCTTCATAAATCCATCCGCTGACACGTCAACTCCCAAGTATCTGAAAACATTCACTTCTTCCATACTCCTCCTCCCCAATTTGATATCCAATTTTTCTTTATCTAAATCATTTGATACCCTCATCACCTTACTCTTTTCTATGTTCACTTTCAACTTTCTACCTTTACACACATTCTCAAACTCATCCACTAACCTTTGCAATTTTTCTTTAGAATCTCCCATAAGCACAGTATCATCAGCAAAAAGTAACTGTGTCAATTCCCATTTTGAATTTGATTCCCCATAATTTAATCCCACCCCTCTCCCGAACACCCTAGCATTTACTTCTTTTACAACCCCATCTATAAATATATTAAACAACCATGGTGACATTACACATCCCTGTCTAAGACCTACTTTTACCGGGAAGTATTCTCCCTCTCTTCTACACACCCTAACCTGAGCCTCACTATCCTCATAAAAGCTCTTACAGCATTTAGTAACTTACCACCTATTCCATAAACTTGCAAAATCTGCCACATTGCTCCTCTATCCACTCTATCATATGCCTTTTCTAAATCCATAAATGCAATAAAAACTTCCCTACCTTTATCTAAATACTGTTCACATATATGCTTCAATGTAAACACTTGATCTACACATCCCCTACCCACTCTGAAACCTCCTTGTTCGTCCGCAATTCTACATTCTGTCTTACCTCTAATTCTTTCAATTATAACCCTACCGTATACTTTTCCTGGTATACTCAGTAAACTTATTCCTCTATAATTTTTACAATCTCTTTTGTCCCCTTTCCCTTTATATAAGGGACTATACATGCTCTCCGCCAATCCCTAGGTACCTTCCCCTCTTTCATACATTTATTAAACAAAAGTACCAACCACTCCACACTATATCCCCCCCTGCTTTTAACATTTCTGTCATGATCCCATCAGTTCCAGCTGCTTTACCCCCTTTCATTCTACGTAATGCCTCACGTACCTCCACCACACTTACAGTCTGCTCTTCTTCACTCCTAAAAGATGGTATACCTCCCTGGCCGTGCATGAAATTACCGCCTCCCTTTCTTCCTTAACATTTAAAAGTTCCTCAAAATATTCTCGCCATCTACCTAATACCTCCCTCTCCCCATCTACTAACTCCCCTACTCTGTTTTTAACTGACAAATCCATACTTTCCCTAGGCTTTCTTAACTTGTTTAACTCACTCCAAAATTTTTTCTTATTTTCATTAAAATTTCTTGACAGTGCCTCTCCCACTCTTTCATCTGCTCTCCTTTTGCACTCTCTCACCACTCTCTTCACCTTTTTTTTACTCTCTATATACTCTGCTCTTCTTATAACACTTCTGCTTCGTAAAAACCTCTCGTAAGCTACCTTTTTCTCTTTTATCACACCCTTTACTTCATCATTCCACCAGTCACTCCTCTTTCCTCTGCCCCCACCCTCCTATAACCACAAACTTCTGCCCCACATTCTAATACTGCATTTTTAAAACTATTCCAACCCTCTTCAACCCCCCCACTACTCATCTTTGCACTAGCCCACCTTTCTGCCAATAGTCGCTTATATCTCGCCGAACTAATTATTATTATTATTATTATTATTATTATTATTATTATTATTATTATTATTATTATTATTATTATTATTATTATTTTACGTTTTTACAGGATTCTTGACCGTAAATAGTTTTTTAGCCTCCTAGGAATAATAATAATAATAATATAAATAATAATAATAATAATGATAATAATAATAATAATAATAATAATAATAATAATAATAATAATAATAACAATGATTAATAATAATAATAATAATTAATAATATAATAATAATAATAATAAAATAATACAATGATAATGATAATAATAATAATAATGATAATAATAATAATAATAATAATAAATAATAATAATTAAAAATTTAATAATAATAATAACAACAAGGGATAATTGATAATAATAAAAATTTGATATATAATAATAATACATAATAAATAATAATAATAAAAAATAAAATAAAAACAATGATAATGAAAATTTAATAATAATGAAAAAAATAATAAAAATAATAAAAAATATAATAATATATAAAAATTTAATAATAAAATAATAATAATAAACTAGACATCATATTTCCGATTTTAATAAAATATATTGAAACCACTGTGTTTTTCTGAAAAAAAACAAGGAAAAACAGCCCATCTCGTTACTAAAACATTGGTGTTAACATTTCAAAACATTCATGAGGGCTTTCACGAAGGCAGCCGTGCCTGGCAAACATAAAAAGACCTGGGGGGGGGGGTTCACGTCATTCACAACGCCCTGTTGTTGACCATCACTGATTGAAACCCCTGAGTTTTTTTTATTGGGTGGGTGGGGGTGGGGGGGAGGTATGGACTGCATTTTCTTTGGGTTTGGGTAAAGTTGTACCGACTGGGACGAGGTCCGTAAGGCTGCATTAAGCTGTATAGTGAGTCTCACTAAAAACCTAGGCCTTGCCTAAACGAACCTAAGTCTTATTTATTCAAGAGAAACCTAAACGACATTTTCTATACCTCTTCACCTCTCTGATTATCACCTTTGTTTGTTTTCTTGGTTATCCCCTCTTCTTCTCTTCTTGGATTATCACCTCTTCTTGTCTCTTGGATTATCACCGTTCTTGTCTTCTTGAATTATCATTTCTTTCTAAATAACCAAAAAATTTAATTTCTCATTACATTATGGAGTTTAAATTTTGTGATACTTGTAAAATTTATTTTAAATATTGCGTGTGCTGTTTACTTAATATTACTCAAGTCTTTAATAAAGATAAATAACCTTACTTTTGCGTTATTATTATTTTCTTTACTTCTTTACCCACCATTTTACTATTTACTGTAGTAGAGCCGACGTGTCAGGCCTCGCCATCTACCATCTACTCTCTCAAAACCGAGGTTCGAGCCTTCATAAGAACATAAGAACATAAGAAAGGAGGAACACTGCAGGAGGCCTGTTGGCCCATACTAGGCAGGTCCTTTACAATTCATCCCACTAACAAAACATTTGACCAACCCAATTTTCAATGCACCCAAGAAATAAGCTCTGATGTGCAAGTCCCACTCAAATCCAACCCCTCCCACTCATGTACTTATCCAACATAAATTTGAAACTACCCAAAGTCCCAGCCTCAATAACCCAACTAGGTAGACTGTTCCACTCATCAACTACCCTATTTCCAAACCAATACTTTCCTATGTCCTTTCTAAATCTAAACTTATCTAATTTAAATCCATTACTGCGGGTTCTCTCTTGGGAGGGCATCTCAAGACCTTTAATATCCCCTTTATTAATACCTATCTTCCACTTATACACTTCGATCAGGTCTCCCCTCATTTTTCGTCTAAACAAGTGAATGTAACTTAAGTGTCTTCAATCTTTCTTCATAAGGAAGATTTCTAATGCTATGTATTAATTTTAGTCATCCTACGCTGAATGTTTTCTAACGAATTTATGTCCATTCTGTAATATGGAGACCAGAATGAGCTGCATAATCTAGATGAGGCCTTACTAATGATGTATAAAGCTGCAGTATGACCTTGGACTTCTGTTGCTTACACTTCTTGATTAAATCCAGTAATCTATTTGCCTTATTACGTACGCTTAGGCATTGCTGTCTTGGTTTAAGGTTGCTGTCACCCTAACCCCAAGTCCTTTTCGCAATCTGTATGGCTAAGTTCTACATCATTTAACTTATAAGTACTAGGGTTATGGGCACTCCCAAGCTTCGAACCTTGCATTTATTACTTGAACTGCATCTGCCACTTTTCTGACCAAGATTTGAGTTTTTTAAATCCTCCTGAAGTTCCCTAACATCTACGTTTGAATCAATTGTCCCCACCTATCTTTGTGTCATCGGCGAATTTGCTCATATCACTAGTAATCCCATCAAGATCATTGATATATATTATTAACAACAACGGGCCAAGACTGATCCCTGTGGAAACGCCACTTGTTACAGATCCCCCCTCGGATTTAACCCCATTTATGGACACTCTCTGCTTCCTGTCAGTGAGCCATGACTCGATCCACGAGAGCACTTTTCCCCAATGCCATGAGCTGCCACTTTCTTTAACAGTCTTTGGTGCGGAACTCTATCAAAGCCCTTTCTAAAATCTAAGTAAATAAAATCAAATTCTTTATCGTGGTCAACAGCCTCAAAAGCTTTTTCTGAAGAAAGTTAATAAATTAGTTAGACAAGACCGGCCTCTTGTGAATCCATGCTGAGTATCATTAATCAAAACTATGCTTATCGAGATGGCTTCTTATAATCTCAGCTATAATTGACTTAGTAATTTGCCTACAATTGAGGGGCAGGGTTATT